GCCAGCGCCGGCTTCTCCGAGGGCCCGGAGGGAGCGGGCAGCGAGCGGGTCGGGGCCGCGCTCCCTCCGCGCGGGGCCCTGCCCATGCTGGGCTTTGCCCGGCAGTATTTCCGTGCGGCGCGGCGCGGGCAGACGTGAGTGCCCGTGGGGATGCCCGGCGGAGGGACCCCCATGTGGGGCACTGCGTCAACCCCCCACTCCCCTCTCTGGCCTCGCTCCAGGGACTCCTGCGGGCAGAAGGCCAAGCAGGCTGCGGAGCCGCTGGATGAGATGGAGATGCTCAAGTTCACCAAGGTACCGGGGGAAATGGCTCATCCTGCGCTCCCTGCTGTTGCCCCAGTGGCCCATGGCTGTGTCATCACCCTGGGGACCTCTCCGGACCCCCGGCTCGTCCCTTTGGCTGCCCCTTGCCCCGCTGTCACCCCATAGGTCCCCATCCAGGAGTCGCTCATCGACTTCACCGACAGCAGTATCAGCAAACTGGCCGCCGAGGCTTTCCAAGGTAGGCTGCTCCCGCCGCCCCTGCCCTCTGTGCGGGATGTGATGGGAGATGGCATGGTGCCCCCCACCCCGCAATGGTTTGGGGACCCCGAAGGGAAGGGACCCCGAAGGTTGAAGCTCATGGTTGGGCGGCCGCCTTGTCTCCAGCTGTGATGAGGTTCATGGGTGACTACCCTCCAAGGGGACAGTCGGAGCTGGACACCGTCTGCACCATCCTCAAGGTAAATCCCGTCCCAGGGCCATGAGCCTTGTGGTGACAGCTGGGAGGCCCGTGGGGACATGTCCCAGCACGCAGCTCTCCCCAGCTGTGTGCAGAGCACGAGGTCCTGCGGGACGAGCTCTATTGCCAGATCGTCAAGCAGATCACGGACAACACCAGCTCCAAGCCGTGAGTCCCCGAGCCGCCTGGGATGGCAGAGGGAGCTGGCCCTGGGGACACGCGTGCACCCTGCCAGGCGGTGACCTGAGGCTGGGGGTGCTGCCACGGCTCTCCCAGGGGCTCAGCCCCAGTTTTTTCCTTGCAGCGACAGCTGCCAGAAGGGCTGGCGGCTGCTCTACATCCTCAGCGCCTACTACAAGTGCTCCGAGGTGCTCCAGCCCTTCCTGCTGGCCTTCCTGCAGGACGCCGGCGGGCGCCCGGCGCTGCCTTTCCAGGGTAGGGGCTCTGCATTCGCCAGCGCCCGCAGTGCACGGGGCAGGGAAATGCACCCTGGAGTATCCCGCGCTCTGGAGATGCTTTCACAAGAGCGAACAGGACCTGGGGTGTTGGGGTGGGGGACACACGGACCAGCCCTGGCACCGCCGCCTTTGAAATGAGCCCTGTTTCCTCCAGGCATCTCCAAATCCTGTGAGCA